AAATAAAATATTTAAATTAAAAAAAAATAAATAAACAAGAAATAAAACATACACCGTCGAGTTCATCTTTTACTTTTCTTGCTGTTTCAAATGAATCAAATTCAATAAGAACTTGAATAATACGTTTACGTAAAATACATATACGTAATATTTGTCCGGTTATTGAACATATTTTTCGAATAACATCCTAATATATAGGAAAAGAAAACAATAAATTCTTATTTCAAAAGAAAACATTCAAACTCTTACAAGTGTAATTGGATATTTAGCATTTTGAACTGTTAAGCAAAGTACAGTTGTTTCATTCATTGTAGTATTAGTAAATTGACCGAAGACACTACAAAAATTAATATTATACTAAATATAAATCTATATATTATTTTATACTCAGATCGTTGATCAATATCATTTCGTTCCATAAATGTCATAGGACGATTATCATCATCGGGTGAATCCCATTTCATACGATGAGCACTGTTCGCATTATCATTATGAAAATCATCACCACGCATTCGTTTTATACCTTGTCCACCATAACCACCCATATTACTTGTATTATTACGATTATTATTCGACATATAATTGTTTGTATTACCACTACCACGTTGTTGTTGTTGATTACTTAACATAAGTAATGGATAGAATTAAATGATCAAATATAATTTTCAAAGGAAAAAAAAATTACTTTCGTCGAGGGCCAGACATATGATTCGATGAATTAGAGTACAAACGTTTGTCCATGATATCAATACTTATTATTGAGTATTTTTTTGTTCTTTGTTTGGTGTAATGATGATGAACAGAGTTTGTGAATAATAAGAAAGAGGAAGAAAAAAAGCTATTGGATGTTGGATATACCAATATATAAATTATATATTTAAAAAAGAGATTATAGAGGACAGACATAGTTTCTCTTATGATAACAACGAATTATTAAACAAAATTAAGAGATAATATTTAAAAATAGTCATTATATTTTTATTAATAAAAGAAAACTACACAATCGTATCTTTTAACTCTAGTAAATCTTTTCGTTCATTACATTTCATTATTGTTTTAGGATTGAATTTATATGTATCATAAGTAACAATAACAAGGTGATATAATCAGTGAAGTTTGTTATCCTATACTGTATCATTAAAATTGATTACTATTGTAATCAATGCATAACTAAAAAGAAAATCTATTCATTTTTACAATAGAATAAAAAATGATATGCACGTTGCGTTTTAAACTTAGTAGACATTTAACAAGCTCACAATTGTTTAGTTTGTTAACTTGATGTCAATGAGAGTACACTGTATTTTTCGTAAATTTTCTCTTGTAATAAACTTTTATCAGTTCATGTAACAAAATAATATTTATGTAATTACAGAAACAAGTTATGATAACTTAATCAGATTTTTCGATATCTGTTTACTGTGATTTTCTTCATATAAGAGTTTGTAGTTTATATGATTCTATTTTGGATAAATTTATGTATTTATTGATGTAGTCAAAACAACAAATATGAATACTGGAATATAGTTTGTAAAATGATAGAAGATGAGATACAATTAGATTTCTTTAATTAGAATCTTTATTTGTATATGTTTAATTTACCATATGAGTTATAATTGACAAAGAAGAAAAATATGAATCTTATTTAATCTATCAATGGAATTCGACTAGGTTTTTTTCTTAGAAGTAATGAACATGCTATCAGTATTTTGATTACGACTCAATAAATGCAATAAGTAATTGCACTTAAACTGATTATATTCACTGATGTGCACTGAAAAAAACAAGAATACGATACTGATAGTGTCTGTAGAACCCTAAAACGTAAATCGTTTCAAACTAGTGATAGAATTTTAAGCTTGTAAATTATCAAGAAATATTTAATATAGTTTACATTATTCATTGACTTAAATTTTAGATGTAGTGTCTTTTAATAAGATACAAAATGTTGGAGTGAATATAGATGTTTGTCTTCAGTATCTGTAGGAAAAAGAGATGAAAAAAGTTATGTTGACATTTAAAATCTATGCAAACAAGAAAGAATAACATTCATGAAATTATATATAAAAATTGTAAGAAACTACCATTACAGTTTCTTTAAGTAAACAATAATAGTTTTGATTTTTTGAAAGTTCTTATAAAAAATTCAATGGTTCGAATATTAATTTATAAATAAGCCGTTGATACAAGGATCCTCAACTTTGGAGTCTCGTAAAATCGATTAAATAAAACGTTTATACAATAATGCATTGACTGAGATTACGTAATTACATCGAGAATTTTTCATTTTTCGTAATTACCAATACATTCTATCAGTTAAAAACATAACATTAGTATTGTACGAGTTCTATAGACTATTGTGTTAACAGAACAAAATACTGTCGTAATTATTCTAGAATAATTCAAACTTGTTTTCGTTAAACAACATTAATCAGAACATCATGTTGTTTTTCGTCAATGCTATTAAACTTTTTATTACGCATATTAATAAAAAATTGTCAAATGCGTCTTATTTTTTTGTGATGTATTGCAATTGCATATACAATTACGTTTCGTATGCATGTTATTAAAAAAAAAAGTACAGAACAGAACGGGGAAGAGAATAAAACATGCATGAGTCATAACCAAATAGAAACTAGCAAACGCGTCATCCACGTCATCATATGAAGACGTGGCTTCTTTTACTCCTACTGAGCAATGCGTGTATAGTATAAAAAACAACAGCAATGTCATTCATCATAACTATTTTTCTTTCATAATAACCATGGAAAATATTCAATCGACAATTCAGCAGATGCTTAATGAAGATAAACGGCGTGATACATTTAAATTTCTAACGTCATTAACCGGGCTTAAACTCAATCACGAGCAGGTAAATAAATAACTACATATATATATTGATTGTTTTTATCATATATTTTCTTTTTTCTATCAAGGTTTTTGTTATTGGTGGTGGTCAACAATTTTCTCATCGTCACTTAGCAACAAATAATTCTGGTGAACAACAAATGTCTGATGATATAAATAATACTGATCTATCAATTCACGATCTACCTGATGAAGTTTATCTTCATCTGTTTTCATTTCTTAGTCCAATTGATCTTTGTCAAATATCAAATGTTTGTAAAAAATGGTATCGTCTTGCCACTGATGATAATGTATGGCGTCAACGTCTGATACAAGATATGAAACGTTGGCCATCAATTAGTTCTCGTTCAAATCCATTAAGTTATATGCTTGTACAATCAGATCGTTCACAAAAAGAAATTTATCTAACATGCTCCCCAACAATACGTCGTTGTTCAAATCAACCTGATCAAAGTTTTATGTATTTAGCAAATCTTTCAAATTATTTTCGTAGTTGGTTTATTGATTCCAAACATTTAATCATGTTTGGACCTGGCTTAGAAAGTTATACATCTCCATTAGTCAAAAATCTTCTTTGGGATGAATCAAAACGTTTTCAAACGATGGGCATGATTCCTGGACATGCTGGATTTGGATCTGGTATTAAAATAAAATTACAAAGTTATGTATTTAATCTTATAACATTATATACAAATTGTATGAAAGAACGTGAAAATCGTACAAATAATGATCGATTAATAACTAATAATCGTCTTGTTCAAACAAATGATACTGATCATTTTGATATAAGTCCACAAGTACGTGATGTTTGTCGAGAAGCAAATGGTCTTGTTTATGTTATTGATGCTAGTCGTAATAATAAATTAAGTGATTTTTGTACAGAATTACAAGTTATGACAAGAGAATTTAGTAGTGTACCATTATTGATATTATCATGTATTAGAGATATGGAAACAAAACGATGGTCATCTATTGATGTTGTTCGTGATTTACAATTAAGTTCACTTGGTAATCAATGGTTGGTGCAAGATTGTTGTGTTGATAATATGGATGGAGTTGAAGATGGTTTTCTTTGGTTACTTACACCAAAAAACAATAATAATATTTTTTTTGGTACAACTAATGAACCTGAACCGATGACTAATTGATATTTTTTATACAAAGAAAAAATGAATTTATTTTTGTAAATAAAAATAGAAAGGACTAGAAATTGAAATTTATCTTTTATTTCAAACACGAAAGGTTTTCGGACTCAAAACATTCACCGAATCTATTGATAAGAATGAAGTCTTCTATCATCTACTAGATTTAAACTGTTATATGATATTTAAGAATAACATTATACACATGAACCCAATGCATGAAAACTTCGATATTTTATGATTTCCTTTAATCTATGATTTGATTAACAAATCACTTGTATGTTTTTTGTATTAAAATTATAAATAACCATCTTTATCGATTATTTAATCATATATATCTTCATTAGAACTAATAGTAATTTTATTCAATTAAGACTTCCTAAATATAGATATGAAGAGATGTTATAAGTAAATTATTTTCTTTCAATATCAAATGTCACGCAGTGAACATACTAAAATTCCCTAAAGAACTTCAAAATTTTAATATTTACTGAGATTAACTATACAACTCTCTATAGTATATAACATAACTATTGTGTGAGAATAAATAGTAGTTGTTGTTATTTTTTGCTAAATAAATAACAACAATGAGCTTTTAATGTTTTTATATATCGGTTAAATACAAGATGAGATTATATTGTGGAAAGCTGATGTTTATCTTTATTTAGATAATGTATTCCAAATCAATGAACACTTCTTTATAAAAAAAAAACAAAAAAAGAAGAAAAGTTTTCTTTTAATACTTTAATCTATTTAATAAGAATAATATACAAAGATACAGAGAGAAAAAAGCGATTTGGAAATTGCTATTTTAAATCAATAAAATCATCATTTTCTTCAGTTTGATTAGTAATCGTTTCATTTTTTATTGATAATATAGATTGTTCTTGTTCTTTTTTTAATGTTCTTAATGCATGTTTTAATATATATGCAACAATTTCAGCTGATAAATCTTGATAAACTAAATCTTCAATATCATCAGTTCGAATACGCCGTGGTTTAATTGTTCGACGAAAATCTTGTTCAAAATTATTATCATCATCATCATCAGTAATATTCGATAGTTTTTTCATTGTTGCTCTATCAATACTTTCCATTAAAATTTGATCGGCAAGTGTATGAGCATTTTGTACAATTTTATTTCGATCAACACTTGAATATTGATTATTACTATCACTATCACTATCACTAGTAATATCATCAGCAAATGAAACACTTTTACAATTATGTAAATGATGTTTTCGTAAGTCTTTATTCGACGAAGAATTGGTTAATGATAAATCATTTTCTTTTGATGAATTTTTTTTTATTTCATCATTTATTATATTACTTGATGTTCGACGTTTTGTTGATGGTGAAAGAGTATTTTTAACTTTATCAAATATTGATTTAATTGAACCACTTGTATCAATATCAATTATTTCAAGTGGTGATGATGATGATGTCGATCCTTGACGCGTATGATATGATGTTGGTAATTCTTGATCTGTTGGAACACGAGTTTCAGAAGTTGGACGACTTAAATCACGTTTAAATGCAAGTATTGGTCGTGCTAACAAGAAAAAAGAACAATATTTTTTTTAGAAAATAATTGCCTGTTTATTAAGTCAATAAATACTGCTTTTCTTTTTCTCATTTATATATCATTATAAGTTTAAGAGAACAGTATAATAACTAACAATCTTTATCTAACGGAAGTCACAAGTTTAATATTACAGTTGCATTTTGTTTCTAATGTATCACAATTAATAGCAATCTTAATTACAGAATAATAAATGTATTGTTTCATTTGATATAAAAACTCATTTTCATTTGATGATGGATGGCCCCAAAAGAAAGTCACATGAAATATTAATAATAGTGGCAACTAATAACTTCCTTTTTTTTTTTCTTCTTTTTACCGTCATAAGAAAATATTACCAATCTACTTTTATGTTGCAAATCTTGATTTTTCTTCTCAAGTATTAAATTATTATAAGAATTAAATAATTTTATTCAACAAAAAAAAAGTTATAAAATTATTGTAGGTAATATATAGAAATACATTTTCTTACCAATACGTTGTTCAAAAACACCTTGAACAGCATTGCTATATGATTTAAGTTGACCAAATAGATTAGTTTTAAATGGATTTCCTGATGATGCCATAAAGATTTCGACTGGATATTGAACGTTTTTCTTGAAAACAAAAATATGGCAACTCGGCAAAAGAAAAAAGAGAGAGAGAGGGAGCAGAAAGAAGAAAGAAGAAGAAAAACCAAGTCACACAAGCATTCACTTCTTGCCTTTCCTCTTTTTTCTTCGTCTTCTTCTTCTTTTTTCTTTATCACATTGAATCTGTAGACTTAACATCAACATCCTTTCATAGGAGTTTCTTCTAACTATTGTTTTTTCTCATGCACGTATCTTTTATTCTCTTTCGTCATGTGCTCAATTCTCTGTTGAAACAAGTTGTAGGAAAAGACCGCCAAGATATAATATATATATAAACACTAAATATGAACGTTTCGTGTATATATTAAGTTTCTTTTTTACTTGCATATTAATATGACAAGATCAACCTACTAATAAAATCGACACACACAAACTAAGAACACGACCAAACAATTTCCGTTTTTAGTTTTTCAGAGAAAAATATGATGATATAAGATTTCGTGATAAAATCGTGTTTGTATTAAATAAAATGATTTATTTACTTCATCGTTAGATAATTAATGTAAAAATTCTATTCTAATTCATTGACTATGGGATATGTCATATTTTATCAATACATTTTTATATTTAATAGTAAATGAACGACAACATTTATTTCGTCTGTGATCAATGTTGTTGACTCGTCGGAAATTCTCAACATCATCACCATCGTCTTTATAGAAGAGAAAAAACTAAGAATGTTCAGAGATGTTTGTAGACGAGGGTTACGATAGAAGAAAGAAAAATCTTATTACACCAAATCATTCTTTTTCCTTCCAATTCCTCTCTCAGTACCACTACTTCCACTTCGATGAAGGCTACGCAAAGATATCAAATACAGCATGACGCTCGTGGTCGTTATTCATCATCTTTCATTTGAAAATACTAAATGTACACAGGGGAAAAAGTCACAATTCTTATTTTTCTACTCTCTACGTTGCGCCATAATCATGTGATGTTTCAATAATAAGTGAAAAAGACAATAAGAAGAAAAAGAAACGAAACATCATAACAGCTCGTTATAGTAATTATTCCCATCGATAAAACTATGAATATCATTGACAACATAGAAAAGGCTGTTGAGTTTCATTTTCTTGTCTATCAACAACATGCATAGTACATATAAAGTAATTAATTATGACAGAAAGATGTTCATAGGAATAGATGGTGAATGATGAATGTGTATATATATTTGCGAGTATAAAAAAAATGAAAAGAATGAGTTATATACTCACGCACTAGTATAGTTAAAACCTAATCTAGCTTGTTTTGATCGTGTCAGACTTTTGCGAATTGAATAGATAAAAATAGTAACAACTACATGCATGCTGATAGGATCACATACATATAAAAAACAGGATTTTTTATCTTGACTTATTACTTTATGCATACTAAAATATCTTTTCATCCGACATCTTATCAAAAATTTATTCATTAATAAAGCAAGATGACACTAAATAGCATTCTTTTTATACGTTAAAAAGAAAAATATCTTACAGGAGTATATTTTCAAACATATTGAAATAAAACCTTCAGTCTTATAAGTCATAACTATCCAAAAAGAAAATGAATTTATTAATCATTTATCATGCCATGCACACCAAGGACAATATTTTAGTAACAGAAAAATCAGCAAAAAAAGAATCTATAAAGCATTCCCAAGTCATATCATTAATTAGATAGACAACAAACTATCAAATACAATTCATTCACATGCTAAACAAGATCATTCGGTGCAATGATATAAAGGAAATGATAATAAAACATATTCAACACCATATATAAATATATATATCTCTAATCCATAATTGGTTATTATAGTTGTCTGCTATTATCTAATAATCCTCTATTGATGATTGAAGAAAAAAATGAATGCAAATATTTGACAGCGTAGATCTGATGGCAAATAAACAAGTTTGTCTATTCATAATACAAATATATCATTGTTGACACATTACGGGTAGTATGTTGTTGTGTATAAATTTTACTTTTTCTTCTTCTAATATTTGAAAAAGTACGATGCTTTATTTGTATTTATTCTAGTTTATATTTAAAAATTTATTTTCAATGAAAAATAATGATTTGTATAATTAATAAACATTAGTCTTTCATTTTTAAGGTTTTATTTGTAAAAAAAGGTTACAACTAGAATTCATGTAAACATCGAAAAGTATAATAATTAAATTGTATTCTATCGGGTTAATAGTTTTGTTATGCTATTTTCTCGATTAAATATGTTACGTATAAAAAGATGTACAAAAAGAAAAGTAAGAATTTGATTTATCAGTTAATAAGGACGTGGTGGATACATAGGACGATTATAGTTAAGAGGTTGCTGTCTACATTGATGATGATGATGGTGACGGCGAGGAGGAGGAGGATAATTAGGTTGATCTACACAAAATAAAAGGAAATATGTAGGAAAAGATCTAAGTTTAAATACTTACAATTGCCATTAAAACTGTTATTGTTAAATAGACGCATTTCAATTGGATCAATACGTCCATCATGATTTAAATCAGCATGTTGGAAATCGGAAAAATCAGATAGTTCTCTTTGTTCAAGAAAACCATCATGATTTTGATCAGCTATCATAAAAGCTTGTGCTGTATTTCTTGGATTAATATTAAGATTTGGTGCTAATTAAAATATTAATTACATATATATATTTAATAAAATAACAGTTGATTTACCAGCTATATTTGCAAATTCAGCTAAACCAACACGTCCATCATGATTTCGATCAGCATTTTGAAAATCACGAAAATTTCGAAATTCATTTCGATCTAATACTCCATCATGATTTCTATCGGCTTGTCCAAAAGCGAATGCATATGGATTAAATCGATTATAAGCCATTTGTAGATGTATAATATAAGTACGAAAGATTAATGTTTATATACAAGTACCTGGTCGATTTGTATATATATATATGCGTATACGCCCGTTTTGACGTCAATTAATACGCCTAAATTAGTCATAATGTTTAAACTGCACTATTAACTGTATAAAACATGATATTACTCATTTTACGACTTATATCGATGTTTTTCGTTTCCCAAATTTATCTTATTTTGATACTATAACGTCAATGATTCATATATCAGATTCTTAACGACGTCACCGATATAGATACAATCAAGTTAATAATTTTTAATATACTATTTTACTCACACTTATTCCTTTTAATTTATAAATATTTTTAAGAATAAACAAAATACATATTCCTAAACACTATAGTAACAATTAACATATAGTTTGTATTTGATAATGTCCAGAATATGATACAATTTTCACTGCTCATGTATGCACAAAAATATTTTACATAGCAAGAATAGATAAAAATCTGAATAGGTTGAATTTTATGGATGTTAAATCATTAATTACTTATTGTTTTAAACTACGACAAAACTTGAATTATGTTATAATGATCAAAGAAGATTTCTAGTATATTAGATACGTGTATATTTCATAAATCTTGATGATAAGAATAACTGATTATTAATAATACCATTCACTCGATCGATTTATTTGATTTTTTAAATAATATTCAACTCTTTTTGAAATATAACTGAGAATTATTTATAATATCTATTTAAATCGCACATGATCGCTATTTTATTAATGCTGTTAATGTTTTTTTTTCTCTAAATTTCCTTCACAATTGAAAATAAGAGACAGATAGAAAAAAAATTAGGGATTTTTTTCTTGAATGCGACAAATAATCATCTTGCGAAAAAAAAAATAGATCGACGATTCTTGTTTGTTTACTTGTGACACAGATGGTAATAGGGAAAAAGTGAAATAATATAAGAAAAAAAAGAAAGAAAGAAATTTAACAACAACAAGAAAGAAAAAGATAAATGAAGAAGCTATCGATGGATTCTTTCGCACGCGCATTTTTTTTTGTTTGTTTTTTTCGTCACCAAATCATTTTACCTACACTCACACGTCGAAAAAAGAAGAAGAAAATAACTAGAGAAAAAGAATGACAGAGACAAAAAAGAAAAAAAAATAATAATAATAACATTTTTTTTGAGTGTCTGTCTCGAAAGAACTGCGCAATTTCTTTTCTTTTTCACAAGTCTTCATCATCGTCGGGTAATGCAGCATTTTGAGCATCTGCAATTTCGGCTTCATATTTCTTAATTGTTTCATTGTCCATTTGAACTTCAGCTGGCTAAAAAGACAAAATATATAGATATAGAATTTAAAATTGAAAAAAAAAATTCGTCTAAGTTTAAACATACCATAAGAGCAGGCATAGCAGTAAATTCAAGATTAGCATCACCAGCTAATTTACGTGCTAACCAGAGAAATGGTTTTTCAAAGTTATAATTTGATCGTGCACTGATATCATAATATTGCATGTTATTTTTACGATGAAATGTAATAGCTTTAGCCTTGACTTTACGATCTTTGACATCAACTTTATTACCACAGAGGACAATTGGAATATTTTCGCATACACGGATTAAATCCTTATGCCAATTTGGCACATTTTTATATGTGATACGTGACGTCACGTCGAACATAATAATAGCACATTGACCACCAATGTAATAACCATCTCGAAGACCTGAATAAATAGAATTATATTAAATTAAGAGAAATATTTATTAGATTTACCGCCAAATTTTTCTTGGCCAGCTGTATCCCAGACATTATAGACAATTAAGCCACGATTTGTTTGAAATTGAAGTGGGTGGACTTCAACACCGACGGTAGCATTATATTTTTTTTCGAATTCACCGGTCAAATGTCGTTTGACGAAGGTTGTTTTTCCTAAACAAGAGAAAAAAACGCGATCAAAATAAATATTTATTATATAGTGGTAAAATACATACCAACACCACCATCACCAACTAATACAAGTTTGAATTCAGGAGCTTGTTGAGCCATGGATTTATTTTAGTTAATTGTTGAATAAGCTAAACGAAGAGAAGTAGTGTGAGTGGCTTGTAATGATCTAGAAAATGAAATGAAGGTTAGATTATTGCATTGAAAAAATGTAACAAGATGGATGAATACGTCTTTTGCGCAATAACATGACTCAGCATCGTTAAAGAAACTATCAGACAAATAGAATGATTCGTTTGTCATATGCAAGGCATCCCGCACAAGGTTGTATAAGATCATCATACACTCTCTTTTCTTCAAAAGAAATCACTCGAATTTTCTCTCTTTGACTATGACGATAAATGAATGCACTTGTAGAAAGAAAAGACAACAAACAAAGTACAAAGACATCCATATTTTCCCGTTGAATCTATGAATCATATATTTCCTTTCTTCTTTTCTTTCTTATTATGTTCTACTACCTCAGTCGCGGTGTAATTGTGGCAGCAACAAAATAAAAACAAAAGAGGTCGCTAGTTTGACGTCAAACATCTTTGGCCAGCAAAGTTTAATAAAAAAAAACAAAGAAAAAACGAAACAGACAATGCGCGTATACAACGCCAAGAGAGAAAAAAACGTTCGGCTAGTATATATATATATATACAAAGTGTGAGTTCGTTGATACAAAAAAAAAGAAATCAAAGGAGAAAAAAAAGAGGCATACACACACACATGAAGGATAATATTTCCACGCTAACACACCAAAAAAAAAATAACGTTTACTTTCTTTAGCTCTCTCTCTTAGAGTTAATGTGAACAGAAAAAACAAAGAAACAAAGTAATGTTTTATCTTCTAAAACTAAAACAGAAAAAGAAAAGCAAGTCGATATCAATCAATTCTATTTACAATAAAAAGTAGAGACAGACAAAAAAAAATGAAGTGCTTATCAGCTGCGTAGAGAGAGACATTTGTTATGTTCACTGGTGAAAAAAGAGAACAGAGAGAGAGAGAGAGAAAGTTTGAAAAGAAAAAAAAACGATTCACACGGGTTTTGTTTGAAAAAAAAATAGATATTTAAATAATTGTACAACACACTCGATTTTTTTCCGATGTTGATGGATGATGTTTTTGTGTACTACTTTCAACATTTGTTGAACCTTCTACACTAGATTTTTGTTGTTGTTGATGTCTAAGAAGAGAATATTTTAGTGTTGATAATACTGAATGTTGTGATGGTGTTGGAGATGATACTGGATTAATATGACCATTTGGTAGATTCGTATTATCTGCTGTTGGTACAACAACATTTGATTTACTTATACCATTACTAGACTTTTTGCTAATATATGGTTTTGTATTTGCATTTGGTGAGGATAATAGTGTGGGTGAAAGATCTTCTTCAACAATAATTGGTGTTTGAATATGTTCAGTATGGGATGGTGTTTGTATGGAACGTTGATGTTCAATTATTGTTTTAATTGCATCTGTTGTATCATGATGTTGAGTTTGTTGTAATAAGCGGACGACAGGTGGTGCATCTGTTTTTGTAAATACTGTTGATTCACGTGGTGTTGAATAACGTATACTTGTTCGAGATGCTATAGACATTTGTGAAGGATTTGCAAGACGATGTTCTGTAGATAAACTACGTGTACGATCACTTGTTAAAGTTACATTAGTTGATGCTGACATATCATTATTAATTTCATCGGTTGTATTATTTAATGTTAAACGATTGTTCGATGCTATTGAACTAGCACGAGAAAAACTTCGACGTTTGGGATTTTCATTATTATTATTCGAAACTGTTTGTTGTTGTTGTTGCTGATGTGAATTAATGAGATCACCTAAATGAAAAAAATCATTTATATTAGTTTGTTTTTCATTAAATATAATAGTAATCATTTATACCGTTTATTGTTTCACTGAATTCTTGAAATGAACATGGACGTGTTGGAGAACGTGTCTGTTGTTTTCGACTTGATGAACGATTCATTTCAAAACTACTGCCATTATCTTCACTATCAGAACTAGATCGACTACGAGAAAAATTTCGACGTTTGGTTTCAACAACTGAACGTAAATCTTTTGATCGTAATATGCCACTTGCTGTTGAACTATCGATAGTAGATGAAGCACCATTTCCAATAAATACTGTTGTATTTGGTGTAGAAAGGTTATCATCTTCATCAACAACTTCATCTTCTTCATCTAAAATATGAAATAATAATAATAATAATAAAAAGGAATTTATATTATTTACCGCTTTCAACTATTTTATTTAGTTTTGGATGATTTCCAGCTTGTTGAAGTGCTGCTGCAGTTTTACTGAAATAAAAATTTTAAAATTTAATGTATTGTTATTACGAAAATATTACTCTGCAGGTGGTGAATCTGAATTTTCATCTTCTTCAAGAATAATTTTCATAGCTTGAGCTGGTGTTGTTGGTGTAGTTGCATTTGTTGAACGTTGTTGTAATGACGGTCGTTCTTCTTCATCTTCAACTAATGCTAGAATATAAAATTTATTATAATTATTATTCATTAAAACAAATCGTCATTAAATAAGAAATCGTTTTTAATCATCAATAATTGCATTGCTAAGAGTTTTATCAAAGATTCTATTGAATTTAATTATTTAAAAAATATATTAATAAGGTGACATTATTAGACAAATCAACATTTGCTGAATTATAGAAGAAAGGTTATTTAGTATTTTATGTACTGTGTTATACTTTCTAAACTTGCTAGTTAATAAGAGACAATGAATAATGTATGGAAAAGACAAGAAACAGCTGTAAAACAGAAGTTTACAGATGATTTCATGTAAACAACGAAGACAGACTGTACTAGATTATTTAACATCTTCTTTATCAGTATTGGCTACTGTATCCGATGAATCATAGTTCGACGTTCGTTACTAAAATTGTACTCAATGTATCCGTACAGAATATATATTATTTCTACCAATAGCAGATAGACATAGGAAGTATCCTTTATATCTCGATAGTTCCTTATA